GGCCAGGCGCTTTGCTCCGGAGCCTCAGCTTTTGCGATAGGACCCAAGGCGGCTGCAGGGCGACAGCGCGCGCAATGTGTCCCCGGGAGAAACCGCTCCTCCTGGGGCAGCCGCTCAAGGCTGCACAAAGAGCCCTGTATTGATCTTGTCAGTGGAAAGGGGCTGAAGTCCCCTGGGACTGATGGACTAAACCATGACTTTGCAGAGGTACTGGGTGGGATCCATTCCTTCCCCTTCTCCATCGCTGCTTCAGACTGGCCCCTGCTAGACACTGGAGAAAAAGAAAAAGGTGGTCCCCAACCTACACTATAATATTTAAGAGTTATTTTTGTATTAACCATATTTAGTATTCAAAAAATTCTAACACGCTCTATTTATAGAAAATAATTCATTCTCAGTCTCTTTAATCAACTGTTAAAAACTCTAAGGTCTAAGCCCGTTTTTTATCCTGCACTGTTTCTGAATGTGTGGTCCCTACCAAAACAAAATTAAAAAGACAGAAATTACTTTTATTTTCAAATTTTTGCTCCGTTTTCTTTCCATCTTCTATAAACTAGCAATAGAAAAGCGGGAGTAGGAGAGGGAGCAAGGAGGAGTGAGAAACAATTGGGAGCTTGATCTTTGACACACTGGCCTGAGGAGCTGAGGGGCAGAAATGCTAATCCTTCAACATTTCTTTGCATGCAACTTGATCTTGAGCTTAAACCTCTCAATTTCTGATTGAAAATGGTCCCTGAGGAATAGGGAGGTAAGAGCCCCTGTAGCCTTTAGTACAGGCTGGACTGCAGGGTTCAGTTGCTGGCTTTCTTCTGGGGAAGCTCAGCTTCCCCCTTTGGAGCAGTGGTAGCTATAAGGTGACAGCCTCGTAGGATGTCACATAACCAGGACAGCAGCAAACTGAGAGATGAGAGATTGTTCTTCTCCTGGCTGTTTAATGGGGTGTGGGGGTGGTGAAGGCAGTTTCTTCATCCATGTTCCTCATTATAATTTGCATTAGGATGGATTTATCACTGGTTCTTAGTCTTAACTCTACATTAGATTAGATTCACCTCCTATACTCTCTCTCTTTTTGCATCAAGAGCAGACTGACTCAGAGAAGAGATTGTTCTTCTCCTGGCTGTTTAATGGGGTGTGGGGGTGGTGAAGGCAATTTCTTCAACCATGTTCCTCATTATAATTTACATTAGGATGGATTTATCACTGGTTCTTAGTCTTAACTCCACATTAGATTAGATTCACCTCCTATACTCTCACTTTTTGCATCAAGAGCAGACTGACTCAGAGAGCTCTGGCTGCCTTCATTTATTGGAGAGGAAAATGATAAAGGAGAACCCAAAACAAATGGGCTGCCTATGGATTGCAGCCTCATCCCCATCCCCAGTCTCATCTTTAAAAGTTGGAAACCAGACATTGGCTGTAAATCACTGCTCAGGCCCAAGCTTGCTTTGGACTCTAGGAGCAGCTTCTTTCTTTGGTACATCCTGAAAACTGGGCAGAAGCAACTCAGCACTTCCTGGAAAATAAGTAGTTCTTTCCTTCTCCCTAATGAAATTCTATGGCAGATATTTCCAGGAGTTATGCAGACCTACCCAAGGGCAGCTGGGTTCTGAGTCATTCCACGTGGATATTTTTGAACATTTACATGGAGAGTGCAGAAATTGAGAGGTTTTCTTGTTATTTTTCATTGACATATATATCTTTTTATTAATATATACTTTTTATTGGCCCTTAATATATATCTATTTCTTTATTTCGATGCACAAATCAATCTCCCAGTGACTCAATTTTCCCACATGGGATGAATTTTGAACTTTGTGGGCAAAAGGATTTTAATGACTTCTTAAAAAGGAGAAAAATCAAAAGCTGTTTCCCTTCTGAAACCTAAATTCCTCAGTCCCTTTAGTATTATAAATGGTTCTATAGATATTACATTTCATTGATCTATCATATGTCAAGTTGAATTGTCAATTTAAAAACTCAGATTTTGATGAATACTTGCCATACTTATTACAATTTTTATAGCTGCTCTCAACAACTAGGACCATGAGACACAAGAGATGCATGAAGTCTTTGGCTTAACAATTAAATTCATGGCTGTGTCCCCAGGTCATTCCAGTGTCAGGTCCTTCCTCAGTATCATAAGCCTCGCTACTCTCTTAAGAACTGTTTAAGCCTTAGGTTTTAGGACACTGATGCGGTGATGGCTTTGCTTCTCACTGATGATGACCCTGCTTTGGATAGAGCCTCTCTACAGCACTATAGACGTGGCTATCCAGTGACAGCAATAACATTCAATCTGAGATCTTCACAAAGTTGGGAGCACTTTGGCCCTTGCAGGGATTGTAAGGGCAGAACCAAAAATAGAGAAATTTTTTATTGTTAAATTTTTATGAAATTTTTTAGCCTACGCTTACTGTGCCATGAATGTGACAGGAAAGAACAACTAAACTCAGCCTGCCAAAGTATAGCCTAGATATGAAAACCTTATTTCCAGAGAAGCACAAGGTGGTGATTATCACTGTTATGGTTGGAATGGCGATTGGGGACCGCTCAGGAGAAGCTGTTGATATTAGCAATCCCTTTTGTTTACTCATTTTGTGTCTCTTTCCTTACAGTTTCCCTGAAAAATAAGTAATGGTGAAATTTATACCAGGACCAAATTGTGGGCTCAGAAGCCATCAGGGTGTAGATGGACTTTTTAAGGGAAAGGGGCAAGCATTTATAGTTACCCGAGTCGTGCTTTAGTAAGAACACTTTCCTTTTGTCAGTCTGTGGCTTAGACAACAGACTCCCCGCACCCCCTTTGGGTCCCTGAGCTATACACATGAAGATGATCAAGGAAAAATCCTGTATTTGGGATAGCTGAGATTCTCTTAGGTCCTTTCTCTGCCCATTTGTTTCATGACAGCAGCACCAGCAGAATAAATATCTTGATAAAGGTAAATACATGGCCAATTATAACTGATAATGTTATTGTAACAACAGTCTGTCATTCTACTTTTTGTTTTCAACTATATTTAAGAGGTCAACAACTAAAAGCCATGAAAATGGCTTAAATGAGAAAGTATTTGTATGTTATTGACGTTGAACTGGTTTAAATTTAAATTAGGGTGTGATCATTTTAGGATGTTAAATATAATTACCATGGTAACCAAAAATATAATAGCTATAAGATATACACAAAAGGAAATGATTGGAGCATTAAAATCTTTTAGTACAAAAAAGTCAACTAGACATGAAAGAGGGATAAAAAACTATAAGGCATATAGAAAACAAATAGCAAAATGATAGAAGTAATTCCTCTTTATAAGTAACTAGAGGCCTGGTGCACGAAATTTGTACACTTGGGCGGGGGGGGGGGGGCATCCCTCAGCCCCGCCTGTGCCTTCTCGCAGTCTGGGATCCCTCAGGGAGCGGGCCTAAGCCATCAGTCGGACATCCTTAGCACTGCCGTGGAGGTGGGAGAAGCTCCCACCACCACCGCTGCGCTTGCCAGCTGTGAGCCTGGCTCTGTGTTAAGTGTCTGTCCCCTGGTGGTCAGTGCACATCATAGCAACCAGTCATTCTGCCATTCAGTTGATTTGCATATTAGCCTTTTATTATATAGGATTACTCTACATGTAAATGAATTAAAGTCTATCATCAAAAGGTAGAAATTGGTACAATTTATTTTAAAACAAACATGTTAAAACTACATGGTGTCTACAAGAGACTTACTTTATATTCAAAAACACAAATAGTCTGAAAGTGAAATGGTGGAAAAGATGTTTCATGAAAACAGTTACGAAAGGAAAGCATGGATGGATATATGAATATCAGACAAACTAGACTTTAAAAGTCACAAAAGTTACAAAAAGCATAGAAAGACATTATATATTAAGAAGAGGTTCAATATAGAAAGAAGTATAGTAAGTGTAAGCATTTACGCACCTAATAACAGAAATTCAAAACATACAAGGCAAAAATTGAATAGACATGAAAACAAACAGTTCTATTAAAATAGTTGGAGGCTTCAATATCTCACTTTCAATGATGGATAGAAAAATCAGGCAGAAGTTAATTAAAGAAATAGAGGAGTTGAACAATGCAATAAACCACTTAGATCTAACAGAGTTTCTATAAATAACAGCAGAATACACATTCATCTCAAGAGCACATAGGACATTTTCCAGAATAGAACACATGTTAACCAAAAATTAAGTCTTAATAAATATAAAAAGATAGATACCATACAGAGTACCTTCCCTGATTAAAATGGATATAGTTAGAAATCAGTAACAGAAGTAAAACTGGAAAGTTAACTAATTTGTGGAAATAGACAACACACTCTTATACAACCAATAGATCAAAGAAAATCACTTGAGAAATTGAAAAATATTTAGAGACAAATAATAATGATAACACAACATACCAAAACTTATGGGATACAGTGAAAGCAGTACTAAAGGGGAGAGGGAGTTAAAGGTATAAATATTTACATTAAAAAAAGAAAAAAATCTCAAATAAAAAAAACTAACTTTTTTTTTTCTAATCTAAAGAACTAGAAAAAGGAGAACAAACTGAACAGAAGGAAGTAAATAATGAAGATTAGAGTAGAGAATAGAAAGACAATAGAGAAAATCAATAAAACCAAAAGCTGGTTATTTGAAGTGATCAATCAATTGACAAACCTTTAGCTAGCTTGATTAAAAAAAAGAGAGAAGGCACTAATATTGAAATGAGAAAGTTATTCACATAGACTCTTTTCCTTGGGGTAATCCCAGAAAAGAGATTACTACCAATTCTGTAGGAAACAGATAAAAGAGAGCACTAAGAACAGCAGCACACCAACAAATTAGATAACTTAGATGAAATGGACAAATTCCTAGGAAAACAAAATCTGCAAAGGCGAAATCACAAAGAAAATTATTTTCGACCTACAGTTGGTAAGGATATTTAATTAGTAATAAAAAATGTCCTGACCAAACAAAACAAAACAAAAAAAACACCCAATGCTCTACTGTTGATTCCTACCAAACATTGAAGAACTAACACCAATTCTCAAACAACTTAAAACAATTGAAGAGGAGGAAATTCTTCCTCACTCATTCTATGAGGTTAATATTATACTGATACCAAAAATACATAATGACACTACCAGAAAGGAAACCTATTGACAAATGTCCCTGATGAATATCAATTCAAAAATCCTCAACAAAATACCAGCAAACCAAATTTAGTAGCACATTAAACGAATTATACTCTATGACCCTTCATGACCAAGTGGTGTTTATTCTTAATAAATGTAGTATAGAATAAATTAATCAATGTAGTATAGAATAAATTAATAGAATAAGGGGGGAGCACATGATTTTCTCTAGCTATGCAGAAAAAAACATTTGATAAAAGTCAACACTCTTTCACCCAGCAAAGTAGGAATTGAAGAAAACTACCTCCATGTAAAAAGCCATATATGAGAAACCCACAGCACCATCATAATGGTGAAAGATTGAAAGCTTTTTCTCTACAATCAGGAAATAGACATGAATGCCTGCTTTCACCACTTTCATTTCAATACTGTACTGAAAATTTTAGCCAGAGCATTTGGCAAGAAAAAGAAAGGCATCCAAATTGGAAAGGAAGAAGTAAAATTATTTCTGTTCACAGACGATATGATTATATGTGTAGAAAACTAAAGATTCCACACACAAAAACGTTAAAAGTAATAAACAAATTCAGCAAAGTAGCAGGATACATAGTCAACATGCAAACATTAGTTGCCTTTCTATATACTAACTATGAACAGACTGAAAAGGAAATTAAGAAAACAATTTCTAGGAGTATATGGAATAATCAATGTTGTTAAGAAAGATTCTTCCAGATTGGTGATTGCAAAGCATGGTATAGTGACATAGACTCTCTTGGTTTCAAATCCAGGACCTACCACTTGTTCACATATAAATTTGAGCATATCCCTCAGTCTTTCTGAACTGTATTGATTACATATGCAAAGTGGGTATAAGTCCAAATTTGCAAGGTTTTTATACTGAGCAGTGAGGTCAGCTTTGTAATGCATCTCTCACAGAGCTCAGCAATGAATGAGAATCATTGCTTGAATTTTATTTTTATTATGGAAGTAAAACTTTGGAGGCTGATAGTATCTACTGTTTCATCACTACCATCAAATGCTGTTCTACATTTTGTGCCATAGAAAAGTACAGAGGTCCCACAGGCCCTCTGCTGATGCACACAGGCTTTGATTAACCTTGAATCAGAGAATGAATTTGTGATGTTATTACTACAGAGAAACTATTTTGGGTTTGCAGGTTGCCATGGCATCTGAACCCATCATGTTGGTCCCCATGTGTTTGGTGGAAAACAAGGATGAGGAGATGTCAGTGAACGAGAAAGCCTTAAAGATTCTTTACAAGATTTCTCAACCAGTGGTGGTTGTGGCCATCGTTGGGCTGTATCGCACAGGAAAATCCTATTTGATGAACTGTCTTGCAAGAGAAAAGTGTGGTGAGTGAAGTCTTGTGATAGAAGCTGTTTGCTTAACTCCAGCTGAACCTCAGCTTCTCACTACTTCTCTAGGGTCACAGGAAGGGAGATCCCATATTTCTTATTAGACACATTTTCTAATTCTAGTTCTCACCAGCAAACTTGCAACTTGACCTTTTTCTGTTCCTAATTCTTACTTCTATGTTTCCGCTTCCTATAAAAGGAAAATCTCCCAAACTAGTGCTCTCAGAGACATCTTTTCTAACCCACCCGGCACTAAGCTCTTGAAGTTATGTCTCCCACATGAAATTTTGATTTCTATTTTGATTTCTTATTAACTAACCAACATGCTTGAATATCTGTCATCTTAAAATTTCTCTCTGGACTCCATATCTCATTATGACTATCACCTCATTTTTTCTTTTTATTCCTCTTCAAGCTAAAATATTTTGTCTGTCTTAATTTCCTTTCCCAATTCTACTCTTCCCACCTCTCTTTTCAATTGACTTCTCACTGTTTTTAACCCTAACAGTCCACTGAAATCTCTTATTATATTTACCAATGAACTTCATTTTGTATGATCAATGGATGTTTCTTTGGATCCATCTTAGTTCCCTGTTTGACATCTCATCTCATAGTTGATATCTCTCTGCTCCTTGAAATTCTTTCTTTACTCGGCTTCTGTGGCACCACACTCTTTTGGGTTTCTTTTTATCCCTGTGTCTAGTTCTCTTCAATCTCTTTACTGGCCTCCAACTTTTTATCCACTCATCTGAATTGTAGGTCCCTCCAGGACTTGGCCCTGAGATCTTTTCTCTCCTCTGTTTATACTTTCTCAGTTTGATCTCATCCAATCTCTGGACTTTAAATGCCACTTTTATTCTCATATCTCTGCAATGGATATTTCTTGCCTCAATATCTCTTCTGACATTCAGACTCATTAATCAAATAACTATCTAACTTGTTCTTTTTGAAAGTTTTCCACTTAAAGTTATGTTCACAATAAAAGTCTAGATCAATCCCCACTTTGAAACCCAAATGAAACCAAACCAAACAAAGCAAAATAACAGTACACTTTCTGCTTTCTCAATCATTTTCTTCCCAGTAGTGTACCAGCCTCTAGTTTCAAGCCTCTAACTTGATAGCCCTCACTTAGCTTATCTCCCACATCCAATTCATACATTCCCCTCTTGTTACTCTTACAAATATATCTCAAATCTGTTTTTCTATTTTTATCTTACTATTTTCATTTGTTTTTAATCCTCACTGGAATACAGGCTCAGTGATTTTAGAGACAGGGGAAAGGATAGAGGTGGGGAGGGAGGGAAGGAGAAAGAGAGAGAGAGAGAGAGAGAGATCCATTGCCTTCCAGTGCTTGCTCCAATGGGGTTATCTAACCCACAACATAGGTATGTATGTGCCCTGACCAAGAATTGAACCCACAACTCTTAGGTGTATAGGACGACACTCCAACCAACTGAGCCACACCAACCAGGACTATTTTAAGATTTTTATTTATGAGGCTGTCAGTCTAATCTTTTGCCTGAAATCCCTTCTTTTTTTTCTGAAGTGTCCTTTTTCTACTTTGACCCTCTCTAATAAATTATCTTCAAAGCAACCAAGCAAAGTTTCATCTAGCTGCTTTTAATGCCTTCCATAAGCTTGCATTATTCTTACATAAAATCCATACTCCTCAGAGGCCCACTGTGACCTAGTCTTTCCTCTACCTTATACATTTTCTCCATCACTGGTTATGATAAAACCATACCAGCCTCCTTGTTGCCCTTGCAAATTGCAAGCCCTTTCCTATCTCCAGTTCATTGAACCTGTGGTTCACTCTGCCTGCAATACTTGCTTCTTCTTTACCCAGCTGGCTCCTTTTATTCAAGGCTCTGAACAAATGTCCCAGTTATCAAAGAAGTCTTCCCTGCCCATCCTGTATCATGTTGCCTCTCCATTTAAATTTAACACAATATGAACATCTTTTATATAATTATATATTTACTTTTTTTCTTATTATATTAAAATTAAAATCAGTAGAGGAAAAAACCTTACCTGGAGTCTTTGCTACAAATTTGCGGTAACAAGTGTAGTGTGTAGAACATAGTAAGCACACAGTAAGTGCTTCTTTAATTGAGTAAGAGAAACATAAATCAGAAAGTTTATCTTTTAGGTCACTGCTATTTTTATATGACTTTAGCTAGCCTTCATGAAAATTCTGATTAGAGCACTGTACCTTGGTGTTGCAGAATATCTTGTAGACTAGCATATCTAAATACTAAAAAGCACATGAATATGGTTTACTGTAAAGAGAATCTGACCCTGGGAATATAAAATAAGTCATAAGAAAAATAGAGGACAACATACTGAAATCCATGGGCAGAAAATGAGACTATAGAAACAGCATCAACCACACATCAACATCTTTTCTATTCTGGTTCAATGTGGGGCTCTCAGAAGTTCTGTTTTCCCTCAAAATAGAAAAAAATCAGAATAAATGTGATGTGATAATGTTTCTCTTAAAGAATGTTTTAATTGTTGCTGGGATTCCTTGAATTAGTTGTGATTCACAGCATCTTCAAAACAAGTAAAAGGTGAGATGCAGCCATAGTCCTTTATGAGGGCTTATAAAGTATGCGTATTAATTATTTATTTATTTGTTAATTTGTTATTTATTTATTTTTCCATCCCTGTCTCTCCATAGTCCCATCCATTAAGACCAGATTTCACGTGCCTGGCTCATAAGCTGGTTATAAGTTACCAGGGTCTTAGCCTTCATTGGCTATAAGACTCCAAAGAGAAAGTGTTTCTGTATCTTTTAGCCACTGCGGTATCTCCTGAGCCTTGAACATACCCCCAATGCCAAGAACATAATGGGTGCTTAATAAATAATATTAAATAAATTGCCCTGTTCATTCCTCAGACTATTGAAAGGTCTTGATCTAATTACAGTACATTCAACTCACTTCTTTAGGGAGTCATGATTGTTGAATGGATAAAAAACAAAGTTTTCTTAGGTGTAGCATACTCCTTTTCTCATCCAATGTGTGGGTAGGGCCACATAGACATGAACAGGGATATATTTACTTTGCAAAATTGAATTAGCAGTCTGAATAAACCAAACTTATGTGAAAAAGTATTACTGCTAGTGAAAGTATGCGTAGATGGTATACAAATGTGGACACCCTTGAAATAGAGAAAGCACTGTATTGTATCTTAGGGCATTTATAACCCTGTACGTCTCATTTTGTGGCCCATGGGCTTCTTGGATTCTCTGTTGTCACTCTGTGTTGCATTTGCCATTCCCTTGCAGGTTTCCCTCTGGGCTCCACGGTGCAGTCGGAAACCAAAGGCATCTGGATGTGTTGTGTGCCCCACCCCTCCAACCCCAACCACACCCTAGTCCTTCTGGACACTGAGGGCCTGGGTGATGTGGCAAAAGTAAGGCAGGGTCACAAACAGATCCTTTTTATTCTGGATTTTCTTCTTATCTTTTCATGATCCTTTGTAATTTAACTGTGGTGATCTATTCTTGAAATGCTGAAATCTAACTATATTGAACAAGGCAGACTTTGGCCTCTTTGAAACTCATTTCTGGGTTAAATAAAATAATGTGGTATATTAGATAAGATCTTTTATTTCTGAGCACTGAAGTAAATAGTTTTACCCTTTGTAATAAGCTTTTATTGAGAAACTAAATTCAAGGGTCTTGAGCTGAGTTATACATTGTTTATACTACAACTAATTGCTGGCTTCTGCAATAATGTAGTCAACCAAAAATTTTTGGCTCTTCATTATTCTTCATAGGAGTTTGCTTTTGAGCTTTATCTTCTCTACCTACCTTCTGCTCTGTGCCACTCAGAACAATAACTATACTTATTGCATTCTAACTCTCATTTTGTTTCTGCAGATCTTTCTACTTGCAGGCTTCTTTCATTTCTTCAAGTCAAGATTTTATAAATCCTTTAACATCCAGCACAAAATTTTTAGGGATGTTTCATATTATAAACCCATTCTTTCTCTAACTTCAGTATATTTTGTTCCCCTTTGACCAATTCATCATTTTTTAAAAATATATATTTTTATTGATTTAAGAGAGGAAGGGGAGAGGAAGGGAGAGGGAGAGAGAGATAGAAACATCAATGATGAGAGAGAATCATTGATTGGCTGCTTTTTAATTTGATATAATGGCTGTTGTTTTTACTAACATTCACTATTACTGTGTAACCTTTACATTATATTGTTGTCATCTTCATTGCATTTGTTTTTAAATGTTTGTAAATACCATGAAATAGTTATCTCAAGTGTAACAATTATATTCACCTTTGTTTCCCTATAACTAAGAAAAATATATAACATTTAGCAGTAGTTCATAAATATTTAATTTACTTGGTTTTATTTTAAGAGTTCAGTTGTGACTAGCATAGTAGTTATTTTACAGTTCACTTTTTGTTAAATGAACATGTGGTGTCACTTATGAACAATGAATTGTTCAAAATTATGTGTTTACTCCCACTTAGAAACAAAGAACACTTGAAGGAAAGCATAATTAGAATTCTTTTATAGGTGAGGAAACTGAGATCACAAAAATGTCAATGTAATTGCCAAAGCTGAGATTTGCCTTTAATTCTGATTTCAAGGTGTTTTCTTTGTACCAAACACACTATGATCTGAAATAATAAATTAAAATGATTAAACAAATAACTGAATGAGTTTCTGAAAATAAGACTCCTAAATGTTTTTTCTAATATGTTTTCTAGGGTGATCCTAAGAATGACTCATGGATCTTTGCCCTGGCTGTGCTTCTGAGTAGCACTTTCATCTATAACAGCATGAGCACTATCAACAATGATGCCTTAGAGAAACTGCAGTATCCTTCCCAGTTTTATTGAGAAATTGATGGGAATGGAGACAAAGCTGAATTCTCTTTCCCTGCGGCTGAGTGGCCTTTGGTGGAGCAGAGGGAACCCAGGGCAAAAGACAATGTTTATAATAATTTTTTGAGGGAAGTGTAGGAATTGTGGGTAGAAAGTTCCTTTTCCTTAGCCAGGTCCTAGTTATGTGACAGAGTTGACAGAACTCATCAGGGCAAAGTCTTCTCCTAGACACGGTGGAGTAGAAGATGCCACAGAGTTTGTGAGTTTCTTTCCAGACTTTATCTGGGTCTTACGGGATTTCACCCTGGAGCTGAAGTTAAATGGCCAACCTATCACAGAAGATGAGTACCTGGAAAATTCCTTGAAGCTGATTCCAGGTAACAGGTTGGCTGGGCAGTGGATGGTCCAATACAGGGCGGAGGAAGGTACTAAACATTGTCTATTATCTCTAATAGTTGCATTTGTATTTTAAGATTAGATCAAGCCCCACAGAATTGGTTTTTGGAACCTAGGTTGCTATTTGTTGGTAAGTTCTAGTAACTAAAGGGTGTCCCAAAATTCACGCAAGAAGTAATTTTGATAGAAAACACAGGTTTACAATTAAAAATTGTAAGTGTTTTATTGATTCATAAAGTATATAGTATAGGGTTATGTAAGGAATAGCACATCCAGTAAATGGCCTCCACGGCTTTGCTGGCACATACGCAAAGCCGTGGTCTTCATTGGTCTTCATTGTCC